CACTGGATCTCCCTGGCTCCACGTGGGAAAGTGCATGGGCTTGTCCTGTCCCTCCCCGCCTGCCCGGGTGGGTGCTGGCTTCCCCAGGGTGGTACTGGAGCACTCATCCCCGGCTGTGTCCCTCAGCACTCCCTGGGAAGCAGGTCCGTGTTGGGGCTGCCCCTGGCTTTTAGCAGGCTCCTGAGCCTCCCTAGGGATGGCTAAAGCCCCACAACGAGCTGAGCCTCTGTGGGTGACTCAGTGTGTGGCAGCCGAGGGGACACATCCTGTTGCCACCACAGAGCCTTTCAGCAAGTGCAGGTGGGAGCAGACCGAGGGGCAGGTGCTCCAGGATACCTCAGCTACTTGCCTCTAGGATTCCCGTCTCAAAACTATCCCAGTGCCCCAAACCACCTGCCTTGCACCTTCCCAGCTACCTCCAAATTTGGGGTGCTTCAGGGATAGTGAAGTCGGTTTTGCCATTTGTATCCCCAGGGGCCGGGGATTTATTCTTCTCCCCCTGCATTCCCTCAGTGTCATTTCCAGGACATTGTTTATAAGCAGGGAATAAAAGCACACCCCCCAGCACTCATCTCCCCCCAGCCCGCTGGCGCCCGGCTCCCTGCACCTCTCCGAGGGGCTGTTACAGCGCAGGAAGATGTGTGTGGCTGTAAAAGTGTGCAGAGCCGCTGCTCGGCCCTTCTTTAATTAAGAGCTCGCCCCGCATAAACTGCCTTTCCCAGCCGAGTTGGACTCATTACTTGATTATTAAGCAGGGCAGGAAGTTTTGGGTTTGCTCTTGTGTATGCTTTTTTCTTCCTTTTCCCAACAGGAAGCGGGGGAGGGGCACTAATTACTTTCAGCTTTCCATCCATAAAATCCTGGAGCCGCAAAAGCAGCTAAAGAGTTAAAAAAAGACCAATTTTGAGAACAGACCACCTGCAGGAGCTGGAAAGGAGGGTCGAGGGAGGCAGGGAGCAGAGCTCTGCTTGTGAGGAGGTGGCCCGGACTGTCCCACCAGCCCAGGTTGGTGTTCGTGGCTCTGACATGCCTTTGGTTACTGTTTCGCCCCACAGCATGCATCCAACAGCACCACACGGGCTGTGCCTTACCCCCACACACACGTCATGGCTGTCACTGATTCAGATGGGAAGCCCTTCCTGCATCATTCAGGCTGTCGCTTCATCCCTGCACCGGCACCCACCAGGGAACGCTGCCAGCTCCCTCTCAATGGGCTTCAGCTAACGCTGACTGGTTAGGCAAGCGATGAGAGTTGTGAGAAACCTCCTCCTCAGCAATCCTTCCTGCTCTCAGTTGTGTTCCTGGCTTTGTCCAGAGCCTGGCTGGGATGCAAACCTTTTAGAGAGAAGGGATAAACCGGGTGGAGGACAGCCTAGGCTCGACTGAAAAATCCCGCTGGCATTCAAACACAAATGCAGCCTTAAAACACTGGAAAAAAGAAATGCTGCCTGTTCTGAATCACAAAAGCGCAGCCCACTGGCACTTGGGCTGCTGCTGCATCTGCTCCCTGCCCTGCCCAAGCACCCTGCACCCCGGGAATCATCAGATGCTGTCCCATAGCTTGCAGCATTGCCTTGGACCTCTCCAAGTTATGCCCAGGTCTGGACCAGCCGTCGCAGGGTGACGAATGTTGCCCAGATTCCTCCTCTTGTGACCCAATGCTCATTTTCCAGGCATATTTATTTCTACAAGGAGGGCTGTTGGGGCGAGCAGAGGGCTGGGATCCATGACAAGGACACCCTTGAGTCCAGCTCAAACCCTCTGCAGCCGCAGGCAATCCCCTCTGTCCTTTTTCTGCCCCTACACGCCTTTGGGGCTCTGTGATGGAGAACTGCACCTTGGTCCCCTGTCCTTGCCAGGCAATGGGTGCTGCACGGCAAAGCCAGAGGCTTCATGGTGAAACCTCGGCATTTTTTTCCCCCTGCTCTGTTTTAATGCCACAGGAACTAAACACACCATAAAGCCACTGCCCACAGCCCGTCTGTTTCATCCAGGTAGCACAGTTTCGGCATGGGGATAGCAATCCAGCCGGCGATTAACGGGAGGAACCATTTGGTGACCACCTTGTGTGACCATCTGTAACAGATTACGGTGTCAGCGCTCGTAAAAGCCGGGATTCAATCAAGCGCCCGGCAGGTAGCAGGGGCCCCGCTGGCAGGGGCCGCGGT